GGGGAGGATTTCTGAGCAGAATTAACATTTGAATCAGTAGATAGCAAAGAAACAGCTCTCCTTAATGTGCCTGGTCCTCATTCAAACCACTGAAGTCCTGAATAGAATAAAAAGTCTGAGTAACAAAGAATTCCCAGTCAGGCTCAGTGGCTCAGCCTATAATCCCAGCACTTTGGGAGGCTGAGGTGAGTGGATTGCCTAAGCCTACAAGTTCAATACCAGCCCAGGGAACTTGGCAACACCTCGTCTCTACAATAAATTCTTTAAAAATTAGCCAGGTGTAGTAGTGCATGCCTGAAGTTCTGGCTAGTTGGAAGGCTGAGGCAGAAGGATCATCGGAGCCCAGCAGGTCGATGCTGAGGTGGCCATGAGTGTGCCATGGCCCCTCAGTCTGGGTGATGGAGTGAGGCACCAACTCAAAATAAAAGGATTCTCTCTTCTCTCTTGCCTGTCTGTCTATGAGCTGGGACACTGCTCCTGCCTTTGGACTCAGGTTGGAACTTACCCTCATGCCTCTGCAATCCTCAGGAATTCTCATCCTCCATCATGGTGGGTGTCAGTTTCTCCTAATAATCTCCATCTATCTCTCTCTCTTTCTATCTATGTATCATCTATCTCTCTAATATATTACTTCTGTTCTCTGGAGAATATAGACTAACATGTATGTGCGTGTAAGGATGCTGAACACACACATATGAATATTTGTATCACACACACATAGGACCCCTGAGAGTGGGCTAGGACACCATGGTCTTCATCCCTGGCTGTACAGCAGTTCTCTGGAGCTGGAAGACTAAGTAATGTAATCCACATGCATGGCCCCGGGGAAACTGAATCCTGCAAGCTGCAGCAGAGCTAGTGAGGACCTGGTGTACTCTCTGGTGCTCCCATTGACTGGACCTGTTTCTGGTTTAGCCCACACTTGCCTTCCTGTGGCAGGACACAGAACTTGACACCTGGTGGTCCTCGATGAAGAAGGAATAGACTGAATAGACAGACACACTGGGACAAACTTCTGAGAGTATGAGGTGTTCGGTCCCATGACCCTTCCCACCAATGCCCTCTGCCCTCCCCACAGATGTGAGCAGACACAGGCATGAAAATGGGGGCATTCACTGACCTCCATGTGAATGGAGTCCAGTTAAGGATGCAGAAAGCTGCCCTGTGCCCTGGTCCTCCCAGTGACACCAAAACATGGGTGATCACAAGTAGGCATCACTTCAACATGTTGGGGGTTGAGCAAAAGAGCTATTTGATGTCACTGACCCTAGAGGAAAGTTCCCTTCCCAGCGACAGAAGGGACCCACCATGGACTCATGATTCTGAACTGCTCCAGCACCATCAATGCAGTAGCTATGGCACAGTCTCAAGTATCAAGTGTCGAGACACTGATTCTTTCATTTTTATTTATTTATTCACTTATTTTTATTTTTGGTACAGATGGGAAGGTTTTGCTCTATTGCCCAGGCTCGTCTCAAACTCCCGGCCTCAAACAATCCTCCCATCTCAGCCCCCCAAAGGGCCTGGATTACAGGTGTGAGCCACCACACCCAGCCACTCAACTCAAAAGAAGAAAAAGATATGTCATACTTAATTGGAGTAACAGAGGGTCTGGGAAAAGCAGGTGAATGTTAGAAAAGAGGTCAATGATAACAATGGGATTATCAAAGTCATTTTCCTTTTCTCTTAGGGTTGTTGTTTCCAAAAAGAAAGTGTGCAACAAACTTAGGAAGGGATTTATGGGCCATCTCCCACCTCATATTTTATGCAAATCATTATCATTCCATGGAGTTTGACTTGTTTATGAAGTTTAAGAGTAACTATTTAGAAAAATGCATGCCTAATGGGATTGGAAAGAGCTTATACTTGTAGAGAGAAGCCCATATGTTGCTGCTCATAGATAGATTTTTCCAAGATAGATCCTCCTTGATGTCACTCATTCCTCCATAATGTTCCTTACATACCCATCTCGGCTTTGGCTTTAGATTAAAAGGTGAGGTATTTCATCTATAAGACAGGAATGATGTTGAGCATCACATTTTGTCATTCCTTCCTCTCCAGCGCTTGTTGCCAGAAGACTCTTATTTTCGTCAATGTTTGTCATGTGCCACGCTGACATCAGTCATATTGCAGTTTTTTGGTTTTTTTGAGTTGGAGTCTCACTCTGTCACCCAGACTGGAGTGCAGTGACTGCTCCCGGCCACCGCAGCCTTGACCTGCTGGGCTCCAGCGATCCTTCCGCCTCAACCTTCCAAGGAGCTGGAACTACAGGCACGTGCTACCACACCTAGCTCATTTTTCTTTATTGTAGAGATGAGGTCTCGCCAATTTGCCCAGGCAGGTCTCGAACCCACAGGATCAGTCAATCCACTCACCTCAGCCTCCCAAAGCACGGGATTACAGGCTGAGCCACCAAGCCCGGCATATCACAGTTTTTTAAAAGACAAAGCAATGCTCAGTGTGCTCAACTGTTTTGGCGTGACATAAGCAGCTTGGTGTCTGGGGCTCATCCTATGCCAGCTGTGCACCTGAGGATGGTCCTGAGAAGTCCCAGTCACCCATTCCCTCCTCATGAGGGAAGGGCATTTATCATGAAGTCATAAAGTCTGGAGATGGCCACCCAGCCAATGTTGGACAGATGGAGGAAAGGCTATAGGGGCTCCCAGCTTTTCAAATTCATCACAAGTCTGTGAGGCTCTGGGTGTGCCCAGCTGTTTAAACCGGGATTAGGCCGGCCAGGGCTGACATTGTGAGAATGCACCAGTTCAAAGACAAGGCAATGGGGTACTATTCCTGTCAATGCAGAAAGAGGCACCCTGATGGGTAACACTGTGCCACCCCAAGTTACAGGTTGAGGTCCTAACCTCTGGGCCTCAGAATGTGATGTATTTGCAGACAGAGCTGTAAAGAGGTGATCAAGGCAACACAAGGTCATACAGGTGGGTCCTGAGGTTAGAGCCTCAACCTGTGGCTTGGGGTGGCATAGTCCTGTGACCTGGGGTGGCACACCATGTGACTGATGTTTTCATGAGAAAAGGAGATGAGGACACAGACACACAGAGGGACAAGACTGTGAAGAACAGAGGAAGGAGACAAGTCCACACACCATGGAGAGGCCTCAGGAGGAACCAGCCCTGTGACACCTTGACTGTGGACTTCCGGCCTCCAGGAAAATAATAGAGTAAATGTTGTTTAAGCCGCCGGTCTGTGGTGTTTGCTGGTGGCCCCACCGACAGTTCCCTTGGAGGGTGGGAGCAGAGAAAGAGCAGTTTCGATGTGGACACTCCATACCCAGTTTGCCAAGGGAAGCAACTGCCTTCTCTCCTTGGGTTTCAGAAAGTGCTTTGAGGAGTTGCATGACCACGTCTGGGTGGGGTCAGCCATCTTCTACCCTGCTACAAGGCTCCCCTCCCCATGGGCTGTGAAAGACTGCTGTGACACTCCACAGGCCCAGTGCTGCGCAGACACAGCTGCACAGCTGCTTCCCACAGGACTTTTAACAAAATCCTATTGACTTTGAAACACCCACTTAAAACAAAAAACCAACTTCTATTTAAGGCTCAAGGGTTTGGGTTGCGCCTGTGAGTCAGAAAATAGAAAAAAAAATAATGAATTAAAAGATGATTATTTTGGGGGTGAGTTTCATGTATATTTTCCTGTGTTGACATTCATTAGACCAGTTTATTCTGTCACAAGCTTTAAAGACATCTTGGGGCACAAGAGGACAGCCCTTATTCTCACATGAATCAAGATTGCTCCAACCTTTTAGGTATTTGTAACCAATGTCATAAACATGTTCTAGTCATGGAAAATAACTCACACAGTTCTCCATAGTAACTTTAGGGGACCCTGATGATGGCAGACAAAAAAATATGTGGCCTGCCATTTACTTTTGATTACGTTTTTACAGCTGAAGCTTTGGTTCTGGATTTTATCTTTTCTTTATTCTAGTGATGATGAGAAAAAAATTATGATTTATGCAATCAACAAAGGTCTTCAGTTATGGGATTTCTTTAAAAATGAAGAAAAAGAAGCAATAATATAGAGCTTCCAAAATACTTCAAAACGATATATTCTTTTCCATCTCTGAATAAGGAATTTCCAAAGACTTGGCATTTGACTGCAATATATCATTTATTAGTTCGAGCTTCCATGGTCAGGAGTCTGGGCAGGGCTTCACTGGCTCCTCTGCTCTGGATCTTATGGAACTGCCATGCTGTGGTCAGATGGACACCATTTCACCTGGAGCTGGGATTTTCTTCCAGGATCAGGGTTGTTGACAGAATTCAGGTTCACTGAAAATTAGGTATTCAGAGTCATGCCAGCCTTGGTGTAACAAATAGACACAAAAGAGCTGAACACAAGAAATGAATATTTGATTAGTAAAACATAAATCTCTCCAATTGTATTATATACCAAAAACAATTTATCTTTCCAGTGCCCACATTCAGAACCAACTGTGCACCTGATCTTTGTAAACTCCCAAGTGAAGGCAACACAAGTCATATCTGCTCAACATAATGTGACAGAATAGCAGAACTTTAAGAACTGAGTTTTGTTGGGATTTTTCGGCACGTGTGAATATTTTTCTTACATGGTAAGTATTTTGGATGCTTGCTTTGGGGGTTAGCTTTGATTAGAAAAATCATGGCTTCTATACCCATGATCAATTCTAATATCTGCAGCCAAAAAGTCATCAAATTCTGAAGATCATCATTTTTTTAAATGAGCAAGACACAGCATGGTCACCATCCATCCAGTAGTTGGCCACGGGGGTTATCTGGGGCTCATCGTGACTGCCTTCCTGCAAATGTCATATACACTGTGATAACATCACAGTTCTGCTCCTTTAGATAATGAAATAGCACAAGGTAACCTTCAGAGACCTCCCTAGCCTCAATGTAGGTGAAAGTATTTTGCTTAGAATCATGCAGAAGCTGTTAACACATTTGCATGTAAAGGACCATTGGCCAGACTCTCCTGGGTGTGAGCTGTGCATCTTTTTTTTTTTACTTTATTAAAATACTGTTTGTTTCACATGTATATTTTTGTCTCCCCACCATTTCCATGTCTGACCACCACTACTACTATGCCCTATCATAACATTCCATACATACTTAAAACCAAGCAAAGGGTGGAGTTCCATCTTTAAAAACTAAACAGGCATTTTGGACAGCACATTCTTGGCAATGGAACCTGGACAACATTTATCAAACACAGTAGGGAAAGTTTCTCACTCTGCATTATAAAAAGGACAGCCAGATATTAACTGTTACAGAAATGAAATAAGATGGAAAACTTTTAACAAACTGTTTAAACTATTTTCTTAAAGAGATTTCCTCCACTGCCAGAGATCTTGAATAGCCTCCTGGTCAGTCATCCGAAAGCAATTCTTCACATAATTGATGAACTTGGCTTCCACCTTGGGAAGAGAACCACCTTTTTCTATACTTGCTTGCATTTTTGCCTTAATGTCTTCTACAGAGCTAGGTCCTTTTGGTGTTTTAGGAGTTTTTTCCTGTTTTTTGATGGATTGTTGACCTTTTGATCTTGGTGTTGATGGTTTTGAGTCTTTTCCATTCTGGTTTGATTTTTGTACATTTTTGGCTGGAGTATCTCGTACAGATTTCTTCACTGGAGCTTTTTCTTCAGTTTCCTCATCATCAAAATCATCATCATCATCATCTTCATCATCATCATCATCTTCATCATCTTCATCATCTTCTTCATCAGCAGCAAGCTTTACTTTTTTCTGACGAAACTTGCTACCACCTCCAGGAGCAGATCTCTTTCCAGATATACTTTAGAGTTTTACATCCTCATCCTCTTCATCTTCTGACTCTGCATCTTCTTCCACAGCTACTAAGTGCTGTCCACTAATATGCACAGGCCCTGAACCACACTTCAACTGTAAGACCACGGGTGGTGTTATTTCAAAGCCCCCAAGGGAAACCGTTGGCTGCACAGACATTTTCAAAGTTGCCAGTGTTACTTTTATTGGGCTGCCTTCATAATTCATTGCCTCTGCTTCAACAATGTGCAATTCATCCTTTGCACCAGCCCCTAAACTGACCGTTCTTAAAGATAACTGGTGCTCATTTTCATCATTATCCACCTTAAAGTGATAATCTTTGTCGGCCTTTAGTTCACAACCAAAAAGATAGTTCTGGGGCCTCAGGGGGCTCATGTCCATGTCCATCGAATCTTCCATGGGGTGGTGGCGCACACTTAGGTGGGAGAGAAGGGGGACGGAGGCAAACGACTACTGCTCCAAAGAACAGCCGTGTAGGATGGAATCACACCAGGGAGAGCTGTGCATCTTAAGTGCTGCGATGGACTGCTGGCTGGCTTTCCTGGCTGGTGACCCCACAGTCCTCTCCTGGCTAGTGACCCTAAGCTCATCTCCTTCAGAGGTGAACTGTGCCCATTATGTGCTGAGATGGGATGTCGGCCTTCTCTGGAGTAGCATCAGGTGCTATCCTGGCTGGTGACCCTGCAGTCCTCTCTCTGCTGATGACTCTGATGGTGGTGCTGGTCCTCTCCTGTAAATGTGGACTGTGCACATGAGATGGGGTGTTGGCCAGGCTCTCCCAGCTGGCGACCCCAAGATCCTCTTCTGGCTGGAGACTCCACGGTCCTCTCTGTAGACATGGGCTGTGCACATTAAGTGCTGAGATGGGTTGGTTGCACCCTCCCCAGCACCTGATGCTACTCCAGAGAGGGCCATTGGCCATCAGACAGCAGCTTTGTGCCCCAGACCCTGTCCCTTCCCTAGTCCCTATGTCCACCCTTGCCTCTCATTACCCTCGGCTTGGCATGGGTGCTGGCAGCAGTGGCATGAGACAGCGAGGCTGAACACTCACTTACAGGGCTCACTACACCACTCTGACAACAGCTCGGGAAAGGTAGTAAGTAAGGGGTACCTGGTAAAGAAGAAAATCATATTCCACCAATTATGTCCACTGAAAATGTATCTGTCAATGCAGATACTGTTGACGCTTTGCTGGTGGCCCTTGCCTCCTGTGAACCCAATTCTCCCATTTGTTCATGTAGAATAACAGAGCATGTGTGAATGTATACATTCACCTACCAGCTCCAAAGAGGAAGAGAGGCCACCTCACAGGAGACAAGCATTCAGGTTCATAAAACATCTTTTACTTAAAGATCAAAGAAAAATGTCAGTCATAAACTTGGCTCTATCTATCTTAGGTGCTCTTTGGACTTGGGCCTTGACTGGGATTCTCTTGCCTTTTATTTCAGGCTCTTGGATTCCGACTCAGAAATGCCCAGAGAGGTGAAAGGACGACACTGCAAGCTGGGAAGAGCTGCTGTCCATCGCTCCACTCCAGAAGGGCTTGCTCAGAAGACGTGCAGACTTGGCAACTCATGAAGCGAGTGCTGACCGAGAGGCCAAGGCTGCTCCAGGCAGGAGCCGTTCCAGGAGCCAGGCCACAGCAGTAGCATGAAGTGGACGGTCACCCACCCCTCAGGGATTTTCCCTGGGACAAAGACTGGAAATAAGCGCAGCACAGCATCTGCCAGTGGAGATGGTGCAATGGGAGAAAACACGCCAGCGAAGGGGTGGGAGGGCCCCAGGGCTGATGCTCCCAAATGCCCCTGGATGGCCCACCCAGAAGGAGCCCTCGGAAAAGAATCCGGGGCTGTGCCACACCTGGGGATATCCCAGAGTCCAGATTGGCTTGGGTGGACATGGGGACAGCTTCAGGGGAGGTGATGTAGGAGCAAATGGGAACAGCCAGACACCGTGAGGTCTGGAGCCACTGGGGAAACTGAGGTAGAGAGGCCTGGACACTGCAGAGAGAATCAGAGTGGGCACGGCTGGCACAGTGTGAACAGCTGACACTGGGAGGACAGGGGCAGGAGAAGACAGCCCCTCAGAGGCCAGCACCCGAAGCAGCAGCACCTCTAGGTCTCAGTCTGCCTGAGAGAGGAAGGACAGCAGGGCTGAGGCAGGAAGATGCAGATGACAACTGCAGATGGAATATGGAGAGGAGGCCAGGCCCAGTCCTGGCACGTGGTTTTCAGGATTTGAATGTTGGCAGTTCAGAGGCAGCAGGTTAACGCCGCTGTGTGTGGCCCCTCCCGGAGCATCTACTGCAGAACTCCCCCTGATGCAGCCATGTCCCTTCTCGACAGAAACTGAGGCCATCCCTTCTCTTATTTTTCACCTTCTGCTCGGAAGTCTCCCCAGTTCTGTCCAAAGGCACCGTGCTCCCATGACACTCTTCCCTACGCTGACTCTTACCCCATCTGCTCTTTTCCATCTTCCATGCCTGCTGCGCCTACTCCAGCAAAGGTGTCCTCTCTGAAACTTGCTGCAGTGTGCTTTTCTGAACAAACCATTCCTTAAACTGAAGGAACCCTGATAATAACACTGGACACACACCGAACACTGGAAATGTCTAACTTGAACATCCAACATCCAACTAGATGATGGCTGCCCGAGCCCCCATGTCTCAGCTGAGAAACCCAAAGTTCTGAAGTCCCACAGCCCAGCCTCCATTTCTGCCTCTATGCACGCACTCCAAGCTTCCCCGATGGTCCAGGTCTGCCTGGGCTGTTCACAGGGCCACGTGAGAAGCATCCGCGCTGCCGTGTCTGGCCCATGGCAGACGTTCCTGTTTCCAAAGCTCATTTGGCTGCCTGGATCTCTCTCCCTTCCTCTTTTCAGACAACTTGGCTCCATCATTCACCTCACCTTCTCCCTCAGTTGTTTTCTCCTCTTCCACCATGCAGAGTCATAGAGCATCAACTTATTTTCTCAAGGTGGGAAACATTCCTTTCCTCTGACTCCTTAGGAATCACCGACACCTAGAGTCTCCCTTGATTAGTGCAGAGGGTAGAAAATACTTTTCCAAATACAGTTTGATTTCCCTAAAATGCACTCTGGAGCCTGTTGTGGGGCCAAGAGTGTAGCCTCCACCCACAAATGCGAGAGCAGGATGGAGAGAGAGCGAGACAGCAGGATGGAGCGAGCGCACCAGAGACACCGGGCTTCATACCTCTCCTTCAGGCATGCAACAGAGTTCTTAGGGTCTTATAGTGTCTACACAAAGCCAACATAATGAGAAATGGAAAACTCACTCTCAAGTCTTCCACACTCAAAATTCCAAATAATGAGCCTGCATGCTCATAGGGTGTGGCCCTGAGTTGGTGGATTGCACCAGTTGCCAAGTGTCGCACCACACCTACATGGGACACTCATCTTGATCTTCTTATTCCCACAGGTACCATTTCCAAATAAATATATGAATTCCATAAAACCCATGTCATAAATACAGACAGCTGACTCGTAGAGCCAGCTCACAGTCTTTTCTCCAAAGAATGTGCAAAGCAATTCAGCTCCAATCCAAGTGGGAAAAAAAATCTCTAAAACTTGTATTTTTAGCAAGCATCTTACTGCATTGTGTAAGAAAGCTGAGAAACGTGTAAACCCGTACCTGGCAGAGGTGAACCTTCCATAGAGTATGGCCCTGTCCTTCTCTGTCTCAGGGTACTGTGGCTGTGACCAACCTCCTCAAAGAATTCCTGAAATATCAGTCCCTCTTGATAGATCATTAAACAATGACCGAGAACCCATTCTGTGCAGAGATATGCACTTGACACTCTGTGTCAAATAATGAGGGATAAAACATGGCCCTCACACACCACACACAAGTGCAGAAGGCGTCACAGTCCCGATGTGGACACAGAGACATGTTCAAGGTAGGCTTTGCAGTTATAAGTGGCAGGCAGCAGACTGCCTGAGGGACACTCAGAGAGTTAGAAGGGCAATAGGGATTATGTGCATAGAGGGGGGGGCGTGTGTGCACATATGTAGGGTACATGTATGCATGTGTGCCTGCATGTGTGTGTGCGCACATGTGTATATATGTATGCATACATGTATGTGTTCTGTCTACATGCAAGGACCAAATATCTTGGAGAAAGAATGCAATATATTAGCTAGGAAGCTTGTGAAATGGCCACATTTTTTTTCTTTCTGCATTTTTTTTGGAAGCAGTGTCTGGCTCTGTCACCCAGGCTGGAGTGCAAATGGGATACTCATAGCTCACTGTAACCTTGAACTCCTGGGCTCAAGTGATCCCTCTGCCTCAGTCTTTTAAGTAGCTAGAACTACAGGTCCATGCCACCACATCTGGCTGGTTTGGGGTTGTTTTTTTTTTTACTTTTTATGTAGATGAGATCTCACTATGTTGCCCATGCTGGTCTCAAACTCCTGGCCTCAGCTGATCCTCCCTTTTTGGCTTCCCAAAGTTTGGGATTACAAACATAAGCCACTGTGCCTGGTCTATTTTTAAAGGCAATGTTTTCAAGGGAAATTTTTTTTAATCCTAATAGAATGAGCTATATGAATGGTAGGGAATCGTTTTTTTTTAACTTGCAGGGACGCTCTGAAGAGGATCCCAAGCCACATACTGAACTCTGAGTGGCCTGGCCTTGCACCCATGGATGATGGTACATAATCAAGATGGAGTCGCCATACCTGTCTTGGTGACTTGCTCACCAGAGTCCTGGACTTTCCACCTATCTCACTTCCAGGCCTCATGACTGGACACATGTCTAGGTCTTCACATGTCTCCATTGTTCTCCTTGAAGGGCCGGTCTTACCAGGGATCTTGACCTCTAACTCATACTCATAAGTGGGTGGCACCAGGGATGTGGGTGGCATTGGAGATGTGACTCCCTTGACTGGTGAAGAGTCGGAAACATAGGAGGAGGGAATGTCCACCAGAGAAACATGTGACCTGGTGGGAGAGGTCAACAATCCCCAGACCCCCAGAGCTGGGAACAGTGACAGTCGTAAATGAGTCACTGTGGGGTAGTCTGGCATTGCAGAGGTGAGTTCCTCTGGAGTTGTGACCCCAGCCTTCATGGGGAAACTGTGCTTAGCGGGTCTTTCTGTGGAATTTGCTGGGCTAAGCCCTTGTTGAGAGAGAACCAAATTCAGGTCCTCAAAAGACAAAATAGAAATGTAATGAAAATAAGCAAAACTGCATCTAGCCAGAAACAACTAGTTTATGACAGTATGAGTGTCTCTAAGTTGCTCCCATGACCTCAACCCTCCCATCAAAGCCTGCACACCTACCTTCAACTCAGCCACAGCCAGAGGATGAGGTGGCCAGGACCAGGCCCCAGGAGCCACCTGAAGGCTTCAAGGGTGGTGAGAGCTCCCTGGGGGTCTGCACTCTGTCAAGTAGCCCTCAGCCTGGCCTCTGTTTGAATTCACTGAATGTGCTGCATCCTGGTCTAGTGAGAACTCTCCTGCAGTGAACTCCTGGGA